TGTAAGAGTGCAGTAAATCACCAAAAATAATGACTTTCTTTTAGAAATCCACGACATCCAATCCAGCATTCCAATACCTTCTACGATATCCAGATTGAGCACCTTTCATAATAAAGATATCAATTGAATATACACGCCACAATCAGGTTATAAAAAACATCAATTAGCCAGTACAACTGAGGAAAATAACATTGATTAAAATTAGACCATGTCATTGAGAAGGTTCATTTAAGCAGGAATAGGTCAATGGGTATATGCCATAGTAATAAACAAAAGACCATGACGTCTCCAGCCACTACCACATCCACATTCATAACCCTAGCACTCTCATAGGAGTTATTATTAGTTACAGTCAAATACATTGTCACTCCGAAGGAAGGTTTATGCGACCCGGGTGGCTAGCATAAAAAATACTAGTCAAGGCCTGAGCAATAATATCAGGCCATAGACATTGACATAATCATAGTGAATCCAAAACACAAAGCAACAAAAACACGCTTATTAGACAGCGTCAAGGGACCCCCATCAATTAATAAGTTATCAAATTAGTCATTTCGCGAGTAGACAAAACAGATGACGCAGATAACCTACACCATCGGAGTTGGGGAGAGGCGCTGTATGTCCACGCCGATTCAGGTGACAATCAGGTGAACATGACCTACGCCGTTTCCAGTCGATACTTGCTTTTCCTCCGGCGTTAGGAACTTTATTCATGAAGAGGGAGTTTGCATTAATGTGAACAGTACCACAAAAAGTCCACCGCTGCCCTCACCACCATTGCCTCGGCTGTGCCGAAATGGTGGCCGGACAGAGAAGCCACGGACAGTAAGCAACATGTCGTCGGTAGTAATGGACGATTTCAAAGTTCAGAGTAGATAGTTATGCTTGCTATGTATAACAAATGCAATGATAAATCCACGAGAGGGAAAAGCAACGACCTATAACCACCTTCAACCTGATAGCACCTAAACATCGCCATCACACGATGGGGTGTTAAAACGACGAAGACGCCTGCGCTGCGAAACAAACTAAAAATAAATAGGTCACTTTTGAAGAGTCAAAACTGTTTTTTGCTGGTTGTTGCATAGTAGTAATGCTCTGTCATTCCACTATAGTCTTTTGGTTTTACCACCAGGTGTGCAAAACTACAGGTACATTTAATATATATATATATATATATATATATATATATAATATTATTATCGGTTATCGGTATCGGTCTTGAGAAGCAGGAAGTTATCGGTTTCAAAAAAACAATATCGTGCATCCCTAGAAAGGTTACATGCCTTCATGGAGGGACAGTGGTTGGTGACAGTCTCCATCTGTCTTTGACATGGAGGGTACGCTTAGAGGGTAGCCGAGAGGCGATAGGCCTACTTCTTCGTGCCCTGAGGAGTTACACAATAACCCAGTTGTATTTTTGCATTGTTAGCCGTGTGGAGAGGCTACATGTTTATGTGATGAGGTGAAAATCAAATCAAAGTCTGTTTGGCAGTTTATTTCAGAGGTCATGTCTGGTTATAACCTGTACTTTCATGCCTACTTGGACCCTTGCCATGTTTCTTTAGCAACACAAGAACAATCAACTCTCTTATCAGAGTACACAGGAAAAACTAAGATTGGCCTGCTTGATCTGGTTTGTATTTACTTTATTTTGGTTTGTTGGTGACCACAAATATCAACTTTGCAGGATTCAACGAGTCAGTTCAGACCTTATATTGATTCAAAGTTTATCAAGTTTTCAACAGTCTCTCCAGGTTAAAAATTATGAGCCCTCTGAACGTAGCAAAGCTTTATCACATTTAGCAGAAAACATGTCTGTCAGCAGAGATAAGAGTCTTACAGCGGCAAAACCAAGCAGAACAGAAACAGAAAATGAGTTGGGCCAAAAAAGAAAAGAGGAAGGAAAGAAGAAGGGGAAGAAAAGTTCAGGGATAATGCAAAAAAGGGAAATTGGGCAAAAGTTGTTTTTTTTTAAACAGACGAAATGGGAAAAAACACCAGAAATCCTCTGAAATTTTTATAAAAAAGGATAATTTTCTAAGTGTCCCCTGTAAGTGGAGCACTAACAAGCTGAGGCTTTGGCAGTGCTTATTGAGATTCAGTAGCATTTAAAATGGTATGAGTTTCTTTCTTAACTTTATACATTCAATGTGTGTCTCAATGGACCCCTGGTTAGCTAGCAACCAGGGATAATACTCCCTGCTGTTCTGCCTTCACACCAAAGAATGCAGTTTTTGATGATATATTTGTGAGCAAACAGCACAATGCAAAACCTTTGACCAAGTGGCTGAGGCAAGAAGCAACTTGTCCACAATATCTTATTGTTTAGAGCGTAATAGCCAGACTGTGCTGAAAAAGGGTGACAACATTCTGTTCTCTACAAAACAACAGATAACGAAAGAACATAAAAACACAGAATAACAATAACAACTCTTATTTTAGTCATATATTGCCAACTCCTGCTTAAAACAAGGCTTTGAGCAGGGACAGTAGGCTTGCACCCCCCTCCCAAAAAGCCACCTAGCCTTTAGTGTCTCAGAAGCTAAGTGAAGATGACAGGCGAGCCACATTGAGCCTATTTCTATTGACAGATGCGGAGAGCCAAAGAGGTCGACTTTGGTGGCTATCCACTGTCACTCACAACTTCAGTCATTGTGTTTACATGCACACCATAGAAAGAAGACAGTAAATACTCTGATAAAGCTCTAAATGCGAAATGTGGATGTTGTGACAATCTTGGAAAAGTTGCCTGTACTGTGATTATAGAAGCAAAATCTTTCATACAAACAGTCCACAGCTCAACTGGCTGTGAACAAGTTTGGACTCAACTGCTCTCTTCATTGTGTTTTCATTGGAAGCTATTTTCAGTTTAATTTAATTTCAGTTCATTTAAAGATATTTATATTCACCCATCCACAATTCCCTTTGTGCTTCCATGCCAAACAGAATCCAACACAAATAACTGGCAGAACCTACTGTTTAAAAACTCAATCAGTTTTGTTTGTTAATATTGTTGGCTTTTTTTTAGATTATTTCATAAGTGGTTTGACTGCCAGTTTTTTTCCAGTTTCATCTTTGAAGTAAGCCTCATTAGAATCTCCTTGAATCAGCACCCCCTCTCCAAAAATAAAACTAAACAAACAAGTTATTTATTTATGGAATAGAATAGATTTACTAGCTCTCACTTACAACACAGCACAACAGACACAAGCAGGGGCGGACTGGGGGGAAAAAGTGGCCCGGGGATTAATTGACAGACAGGCCCACTTAATGCGCGGCATGTATCGGCCGGCCGGCGACGAAAGTATGGTACTTAACAAAAAACCCTATGCATTTTATGTTATTTTGGACAATTATTCATATAGTAATCACATTACCTGAGCCCTTGAGTTACCTAGAGCAAAATAGTTACATAATATATATAGTGATTTTAATGTTAACAGATCATTTATGCAATAATATTTTTGACCCAATTTGCCTGACTTGACACATGGAATAAAACATGGGCGTAGGAAGCATCCTCAATGTCGGTGAGNGTAGTACCCATAGAGTCCAGTAGAGGGCAGAGCCTGTGAGATATTTTGAACTTTGAACTTGTGTGCTACTTTTACTTAAAGAGCAACTTGCAGGTTTTTTTTTTTACTAGATTTATGCTTAACCTTGCATGAAAATTACAATTAAAAAAGTTAATGCAGGATTATATATGTTTTACAAGACATAAGGGCAGGAATTCAGAGGGAAAGGAGCCGTTTTGAGTTCTGCTACTAAAAACTGCTTTTTTTAACGTCATATGTCAAACGCGTCATATTATGTCACATGGGGGAGCAACTTTCTCGGACTCCTTCTCTGCCCAACCCGCGGTAGTTTGTTGTTGGTTTGAGCGGTTTTGATTTAGTGAGCTGGTATTTTTTCGGTAATTTTACATTGCATTTCACCATTTTTAATCATGGTGAGCTGGAGTTTGTGCAGGTTGCACAAACTCCAGCCTGTCAGGACATCGAGTCCACAGTTTCCCTAACAGGAAAAGGACCGGAGCTAGCTTTCGTTCCTGGGTGCGTTGTGCGAGGTGCATTCACCTCCCTGCAGCACATACTCTCCACAGCTGAGGCCTATCAAACAAAACGTTTATCAGGAAACCGTATTACATCTCTCTCCCCCCCTTCGTTCCTCTCTCTCCCGGAGGGAGCTGTGGTGTGAGGAGAATCAGTGGAGAACAGGGCAGCTGTATTGGTGAGTGAGCTACAGTTAATGTTAGTGTTACCGACCATAGACGTAAAACACATTTCGACCACCGTAGTATT